CCGCTGTGGTGAGCCCCCAATCTGTTCCTTTCAAAAGACGTTTTAATTTCAAAAAAGCTAGATGGGACCTATTTACTGAAGAGCTAGACATAGGCGTTGCTAATCTGCCAAAGGGTTGGAAGGCATATGAAGATTTTGTAGCACTTGTCAAGAGTATATCCAGGAAACACATCCCGAGAGGGTGCCGTAGGGAATATATTTCTGGCCTGACAGGGGACTCTCGTCCCATCTTAGAGCGGTATAAAGAGCTTTATAATGAAGACCCTATTTCTGACGATACATTTGAGGCGGGCGAGGAACTGCTTGCAACCCTGACCGAGTCAAGAAAGGAAAGATGGAGCAATTTGATAGGGGCACTAGACATGAAGCAAAACAGCAGGCGTGCCTGGAAACTGCTAAAAAATCTCAGTAATGACCCAACTGCACCGAAGAACCCGCTGACAAATGTTACGCCGGATCAGATTGCACATCAGCTGCTCATTAATGGGAAACACCATTCAAAAAGTAAGAACATGAAGATCGAAAGGGAAGTCGAAGATGAGCAGCATTCTTTGGAGACCCCTTTTACAGCTGATGAACTCTACACTGCAATTCAGCAATTGAAAAACAATAAGGCTGCTGGACCTGATGAGATAAGAACAGAGCAAATTAAGAACTTTGGTGCTGCGACAGTCACCTGGGTTTTGGACCTCATGAACGACTGCATTACATCCATGCAGATCCCAAAAACATGGAGGAAGGCAAAAGTAGTAGCCGTCCTGAAGCCGGGCAAGGAGCCAACTGATGCAAGAAAATTCCGTCCTGTTTCCTTGTTGTGTCACCTATACAAAGCTTTGGAACGCATGGTGTTAAATCGAATTTCCACAACAGTAGGCAACCTTGGACTGAGCATGACAGTAGCTGCGTAAAATAGCATTTGTCATCATCTGGCCGCAGGGTTGTTAGTCTTGACCGAGTCATTGGCCTGTTTTCACTACTCTGGGTCTGGCATACGGGTATACGCCCTGAACTGAACCCAAAAAGTGGTTTTCAAAGTGATGTCTGTCTGTGTGTGTGTGTGTGTTAATGTCTACAGAACTACAGACCACACCTGTCGTCCGATTTTCAAAGAAATTTGGTAGGTAGGTACTAATCCATCTCCAGGGTTTTTTTTTCATTTTTAAATTTTTTATTTTTAATGATGATTTTTCCATAGAAACCCATAATACCCCCGCCGCAGCAAACCTGCCGACTAAGCGAATTTCCATTTGTCTGAATTGATTTTCAGTTAAATATATTTTAATAACATTAGGTTTAACGAGTACCTAGGTTTGCTGCTACAAGGAAACTAATAGTGTGTTTTTGAGTAAAATATTGATAGCTTAGTACAACAAAAATTTGCCAAGTTTGATCAAAATATATCCATAAACAAGCAAACTACAACATTTGACAATATTCTCCATAAGAATAACATGGGAATTTTAAATTTACAATTTTTTTTATTTTCTCCGTTACTAATAATCGAACAAAAATACTTTTGTATATACTAAATTATTTGTTTTTTTAACCTCTTTAAAAAGGTCTAAAGAGAAATCGGGAAATTTCGTGTTTTGAGGGTCAAAAGTGAGAAAAACCAATTTTTACCCCATAAAACCCCCCGTAAAGCCCCGTTCCCATGGTCCGATCGTGCTGGTTCGCGAACTCATTCAAGCTTATCCTGCTTTACACCTTTAAACCAAATTTCATCAAAATCGGACAAAAAATACTCAAGTTATCGCGTTCACGGACGTATATATATATATATATATATAAGTCTATATATATATATATATATATGTCTATATATAAATATATACATATATAAAAATTTGAACGAATGGTGTTTTTGGCCTCTGGGGACATCAAAATGAAAAAGTAAATCGGTCCCGGGTCTAGGTCTTACCGTGCCACCTACGGTAATACAGTAGCTACTTCCCTATAGGGAAATTCGCTAAAATAACAGAAAAATCAGATTTTCTCAAAAATGGCCCAAACGATTTTGATAAAAATCATTCTCTTAGAAACATTTAGTCCAAATCAGCACACTCAAACAAAATACATACCGTAAAACGCACCTACAGCACTTTGGCAAATTGCTCTAGTTTGATGAACGTTTGATGAGGTAAAAATGTTTACGCCATACTACATTATTTTGACAAGCTTCCCACGCAAGGATTTAGTCCAGAAAACAGCTGTTTGCCGCCAGCTTATTCAAATGGTGTTTCATTGCGTACTACTGTACTGTAATGAGTTTTACCGGACACCAATCAGCTGATTATACTGTATTTAGGTGGCATTGCATGGTTATAAACAAAAACATAACCTCTCTTAGAGGTAATGACTAGCGATTTTTGTTCTTTAGTTGATGGAAATATATAAGGATTTGTACAGATTTAGTAGTATGGCGTAAACTATCGTACGTAACTCGTCCAAAATGTGTGTACCGGACTCGTATGATAATCCCGTACTCGACTTCGTCTCGCACAGGAACGACCACACTCGTCCGGTAAACACTTATTTTCAGGACTAGTAACGTACTATACTATTCCTTAGAAGTTGGGCCGCAATGTGTTGTTACTGAAAAATTACCAGATTATGAAATTCAATCAAGATATTATTAGAGACAGATGTGGAATAAAGAGGCGTTTTTTTAAGTAAAGGAATAAAGAGCACAAGTAAGATTAAAGCATGAACACAAAAGTTTTATTACACTTTTACATACTATATGAACAACCAAAAACACAGCAAAATAAATTTCAGTTGTGCTACAGTTACTTTTGAAACTCATACTATTTTATGCAGATCAACAATAACAATACAAAAAAAAAATGCTGTGTGCAAATTAATAATTTTTTTACAGTCAGGTTCAATTAACATTGCAAATGGATAAATACTAATACTGTAACATTAAGGTTAAAGACAAAATGAACAAAAAATGTTTAATAATTTTGCTATCTCAATTGTTTGTTGTTACAAAATTTTAGAAATTAAAAGTGAATTAGAAAACAAAAACATAAAACGTAGTACCATCTTATTTACTGTTTTTCATATAATAATTATAATAATAGTATAAAATTTGTTCACAATTGATGAACTGGCTCAGCCAGAGTAGGCTATGTGTTTGTAGCTCACTCTATGAAGGCCAATCATGTCTATACCACAAGATGTTTAAACAACCCTAGGTAAGACCAGTTAGTGGCAGTATTATTCGTTATAAAGGGTTGCCCGTAAATTAAGGTGTCTATGAAGCTCCTAAGCGAGCTAATTCAAATCTGAGACCAAGGCTATGCAGTTTCGATACTTCATACACTACTACTATTTTAGCACTCCCACAACCCCATGTGATGATTAGTTTGTCATAGTAGCTTAAAACAATGTGAGGGTAAACCGATGCTCAAGCCACATGATAAATTGCATTCCACACTTAGATTTCTGTGGGGGGTCCACCCCTATTGGGACCCCACTTGTCAGTTGTAGATTAACTGATGTGTATGCTGAAAAGAGTTTAGGCATACAAAATGGGCATAAGTGGTTAAGGTTATTTCAGAAGGTCAAAAATTTCCTCAACAAGGCCGGCAGTGTGTTCATTAGTTTCCATCAAGATTGTGATTAAAGTTAAGAGAACTTTGCTTGCTGATCAACTTGTTTCAGACTTGTAGGGTTTGCTGTGTTCCTTGGTAGTCTTGGTAGTGTCGTCCCCTATCACTGTAGCAATCAGTCACACTGCGATCTATATGTAAAACTTCCCTGATTTTAGCCTCATACAAGAACGATGAACACTAAAAAGCAGCCTGTAGAGATTTACAATCACCTCCAAACTTTCCCTACACTTTAAATGTGTTTTTAATTTCTAAAGATTTTACTTTATTCACATCAGTCAACTGACTATCGACTCTAATAGCTGTTGATGCCTTAGGCCACAGAGATACAATCACTGGACCCAAGCGAAAGGGAGCGTTGATTTTCCTTCACATATTCTTTTGCTAGTATGACAAGACTTATCATTGCATCACAGGACAGGGTGGGAATTGGCTAAAATCGTAATAGATGAAGTAAAGAAAATGGCGAGGGTCATAAGGGGAACTCAGCGGAGACATTTATTTATGGACAAGTTTAGTATTTTTTGTGTTGGCCATGTTAATTTATACTTCGTTCACAATATTTATGCAGTTTTAGGGGATGAAATCTATCACTTCCACTTGACCCTTACCTTTAAATTAATAGCTCAACAGCTGATTAAGAAACATACATTAAATTTTTTTTAAAGTGGTGGGGGAACTTCCCCTCAAACCGCCTAAATATTGTGAACGAAGTATACAATGCAATCTAATTGATTTCTTGTTTACCTATTTGGAAACCTTTGAGTAACAAACCATTTGACTACAGCACTTTCATATAATTTTTGTTAGTAGAAATTTTGCATTGCAGATGACCAAAATCTTAATTGAAAGCAAGGATATTTATAATTGAATACATATTTACAGAACACAGGCCTTTTAATGGCACAGTATAACAAACTAACCCTTGTGCAGGTGTTGTATATACATACCTCATTTTGTTATCTTCTTAATATTACATTTTTATACAACAATATTCACCAAAGTAATGAACAAATATTTGTATATCTATATAAAAAATGTTAGCCAAACCTACAAGCATTAATTTTTTTAAAGTTTTTTATCCATTAGTTAGTTTTTTTGTAAAAACAACTTAACCCATTGGCCTACTTTGACGGTCGCTAACCGCCGTGACGCCGCGGTCCCTAGTAATACAATGACGAGTAGCGACCGCGCACCAAGTAGTTGTCCGTTTCAATGCTAGATAGCAGCACTAATCAGGCAAACTGCTTTACCACGGCCTGTTTTTAGTTGAAATGAATTAGTATTTCAGTTTTCGGGTTGGTAGGCCTGTTTTTAGTGCGAGTAAATATTGATTTCTTGGCAACCTGTTGCTCTCAGCTTTCTGCTGTGTTTGTTTACAGAATGGCGGGTCGGGATTGTTTACGTTTGAGTGAAATAGATCGTTTTATTGATGATGATAGTTATTTGTTGAGTGAAATTGATAGTGAAACGAATGAAGATGTCAATGAACGAATGTTTGAAAGTGAGAATGAAAGTGAGAACGATAGTGAGACGGAATCTGACGAAAACGAAGAGGCTGTTGACGAACCTGACGATCTACCGGTGGATTTGGTTCTTGAAACCATTGAAAATGTTGTTCGTGGAGATGGCAATATACCAATGGACTCTATTGAGGAAATTATTGAAAAGGTGGTAAGTGGAGAAATTGGTTTTTTAGAGGAGCCTATGGCGTGGGAAGATGCTCCCAATGAGCCAAAAAATATTGTATTTTACGGTGACAAAGTAGGAGTAAATATTGCACAATCGCAGCTCCTAGATTCCGAATTAGATGTTTTTTCTGAGTATCTAGGCGATGATTTCTTTGAGCGGATTGCCATAGAGACAAATAATTATGCTGCAAAATGTTTTGCAGATCCAAACCGGAAAAAACTAAAAGATGATTCTAATTGGTTTGACTGTGAGACTGATGAAATAAAGGCATTTTTTTCCTTATTTATTCTAATGAGTGTGGTAAAAAAGCCAACTTTGCAGTCTTATTGGAGCAAAAGGAAAGTAATTGAAACTCAGATATTTTCTGAAATAATGCCGTTTCGAAGATTTCAAATGATCATGCGTTTTATTCATTTTTCAAATGAAGCAACTAGTCGGCCTACTGATAAACTGAAAAAAATCAGACCTGTAATTGACTACATGTCAAACAAGTTTTTACAAAACTACACCCCGGACAGAGATATCTCTGTAGACGAGAGTTTGATGAAATTCAGAGGCAGACTCTCTTACATACAATTCAACAGAAGTAAGAGGGCTAGGTTTGGTATAAAAATTTACAAACTATGTGAGTCATCAACAGGCTATTGCTCTGCCTTTGAAATTTATACGGGCAAAAAGAGTCTTCCCAAGGGTCAACTAGTTAGTGAACAGATAGTTTTGCAACTCACAGAGCCGTTTTTAGATAAAGGCTACATAATGCATATCGATAATTGGTATTCATCACCAAGATTGTTTGTGAACCTGCTTGAACGGAACACATACGCAATTGGTACCGTGAGACCCAATAGAAAGAATATGCCAGGTGATATGAAGGAGCCCTTGGAAAAAGGAGAAGCACAGCGTAGAAGTGCGGAAGGTCTCCTTGTGGTTAGGTGGATGGACCGGAAGGCTGTGAACACGATTAGCTCCAAACATTCTGACATCGACTTTACGTCAACAGGGAAAATGTCAAGGCCTACAAGGGACAAACCTGCTACTACAATCATGAAACCTAAGCAGATTATTGAATACAATCAGGGCATGCTTGCAGTTGACCGCCAGGACCAAGTATTGTCTTACAACCCAGTGATGAGAAGGTATGTGAAGGGTTATGTGAAGATTTTTTTCTACCTTTTTGAGGTTTCTATGTTCAACTCTTTTGTAGTTTACAAAAAGCTATCTGGCAAAAGTAAGCAGCACTTCTCTGAGTACAAAACAAATCTGGCTGAACAAATCACTCAATCAATCCGGCTACGACCGAGGACATCACCTGGAAGACCATCGACAAGTAACCCAATGCGACTCCAGGGACGACTTCATTTCCCAATGACCATACCAGCTACACCTTCCAAACCGATGCCAACTAAAAGGTGCCTTGTATGTTCCTCAAAAGGGCTCAGAAGAGAAGTGAGGATCCAGTGCAGCAAGTGTGTGGTGCCGCTTCACATCGACGGCTGCTTTGAGGCATACCACACCTTAGTGAACTACTAAGAGTTGAGGGACAAGTGTAAATAGTGTATATAGTGTAGTTGTAAAAAGCAATCATGCCCAGTCAAAAGAAATTTAGTTAGGTATATTGTTTGTGAAGTGTGAAGAGACCTAACTTACATGAAATTTATGAAGTGAAGGCCTACATATTGGATAATATTATAAAGGTACGTGTTTTCCATTTATTATTTTTATTATATTTATTATTTTACCAGGCCCGCATTTAGCCTATTATTATAAGTATCCTTATTTTGAAATGGTAAACTTCTAAGGTGATCTTTTCTATGTGGTGTCTAGGTAGGCCTAACCGAAGCCTAAGTTACAGACTGCGCTAAGTCCATAACGTCTTGTTACTATTTAATTTTTTGAGGACTTATTTATCTTATGTAAAATTATAACAAAACAAATTCTTATTTGTAACTAAATACTAAATGATAAAAAAATTAAAAAAAAATAAAAAAAAATAAATTGATGATTTAATTACTAATTAATTAATTAATTAATTAATTAATTATAATTAAATTTTTAAAAAAATTTTTAAAAAAATCTAATTTTTATATTTTGATATTAGCTTGACATGTTTCCAAAGTTTGAAAGAATTCTGATGCAAAATAAGAGAGATATAAGTGTTAATGCAAAAGCCTGCAAAATCCTAGAAATTAATAGGATTTCCAAGGGTTCAACAGGGCCTATAATATGCGTAGGCCAATGGGTTAAAAGGAATATTAAAAAATATCTCTTTCCAATAGGCTGGTCTAACATTTAAGATTGATCCAAAATATTAAGTTGCTTGGTTCAAAAGAAACTAGTTTTTAAAATGAGAAAACAAAATAAAATCAGCGTAAACTCAATAAATATTTCTTTTTTATAGATCATACCGAGTTCATTGTGATATCCCATGAATCTAATGCTGTTAATCGACAAGTTTAAAATGCCTAACTATTTACTCATAAAACTTTCTTAAACTCAAATAAAAAATATGAAATTATGTAACAAATATCAACATCATAAAGTTAAAAAATTATTATATATCATTACATTGAACTGCTATAATACCACAAATATAAACTACAACTTAATGTGTGGTTAGACAGAGGCAGTATCTTTTAAGTCTTCACAAAATCTTGTCAAGTTTTTAAAAAGTAGGAAATATCCATTAAGAAGTGTTCAGGCAACAAGCTGTTTGATATAAGCCAGGGTTTTAGGTCCTTCTTCTAGTACTAGAGGTGAGGTCTCTCTAAGAGCAAGGCATTCGCGTAGCTCCTTCCACTTGGTAAGAAGGACCATGTACTCTGAAACTTTGTCTCGATGTCCCAGCTTATCATATACATGGATCAGCCCTCGATAGTCATACTCTAGGCCAGAGTATGTGGCACTGTACAGTTGCAGATCTGTAACACAAACACTTGGTGAGTAGGATCATGTACTCTGAGACTTTGTCTCGATGTCCCAGCTTATCATATACATGGATCAGCCCACGATAGTCATACGGTCATACTCTAGGCCAGAGTTTGTGGCACTGTACAGTTGCAGATCTGTAACACAAACACTTGGTGAGTAGGATAATGTACTCTGAGACTTTGTCTCGATGTCCCAGCTTATCATATACATGGATCAGCCCACGATAGTCATACGGTCATACTCTAGGCCAGAGTATGTGGCACTGTACAGTTGCAGATCTGTAACACAAACACTTGGTGAGTAGGATAATGTACTCTGAGACTTTGTCTCGATGTCCCAGCTTATCATATACATGGATCAGCCGATCGATAGTCATACAGTATGTTGCACTGTACAGTTGCAGATCTATAACACAAACACTTGGTGAGTAGGATCATGTACCCTGAGACTTTGTCTCGATGTCCCAGGTTATCATATATATGGATCAGCCCACGATAGTCATACTCTAGGCCAGAGTATGTGGCACTGTACAGTTGCAGATCTGTAACACAAACACTTGGTGAGTAGGATCATGTACTCTGAGACTTTGTCTCGATGTCCCAGCTTATCATATACATGGATCAGCCCACGATAGTCATACGGTCATACTCTAGGCCAGAGTATGTGGCACTGTACAGTTGCAGATCTGTAACACAAACACTTGGTGAGTAGGATAATGTACTCTGAGACTTTGTCTCGATGTCCCAGCTTATCATATACATGGATCAGCCCACGATAGTCATACGGTCATACTCTAGGCCAGAGTATGTGGCACTGTACAGTTGCAGATCTGTAACACAAACACTTGGTGAGTAGGATAATGTACTCTGAGACTTTGTCTCGATGTCCCAGCTTATCATATACATGGATCAGCCGATCGATAGTCATACAGTATGTTGCACTGTACAGTTGCAGATCTATAACACAAACACTTGGTGAGTAGGATCATGTACCCTGAGACTTTGTCTCGATGTCCCAGGTTATCATATATATGGATCAGCCCACGATAGTCATACTCTAGGCCAGAGTATGTGGCACTGTACAGTTGCAGATCTGTAACACAAACACTTGGTGAGTAGGATCATGTACTCTGAGACTTTGTCTCGATGTCCCAGCTTATCATATACATGGATCAGCCCACGATAGTCATACGGTCATACTCTAGGCCAGAGTATGTGGCACTGTACAGTTGCAGATCTGTAACACAAAATAAAATAATTGGTTGAATCTAGTCTTATGGCTTAGCCACACCATCTTCTACTGTATTGAGGTGGCTGTGGCAATGGCGGACGATACTGAAGTGCTCGTTTGTCCCTGTTGTAAAAAACTTTCTGAAGATATGGATAAATCCCTCTTTTGTGAAGGAATGTGCGGTTCTTGGCACCACGCCAAATGCGTCAACATCTTTGCAAAGAAATATAACGAAATTCGCAAGATGGAAGAAGAAATCCGATGGTTTTGTAAGGTGTGTGACGACAGAGTGATGAGCCTGATTATCCTGGACAGAGGCCAGCCTGGAATCGTTAGTGAGATGAATGAGATAAAAAATCACGCAAGTCAATTTGCAAAACTTGGGGAGAAGTTAGAGAGGAAAATTAATATTCTATATCAAAACCAAAGTTGGAGTTAGCAGGATTTTAGATTCTAAAACATTGGATAACCTTTCAATTTCTTTATTACAATCAGAACCTGATTTGACATGTCTGGAACCTAACCCGGGAAATTCAAACTCTTCTATCGAACTAACAAAAAACCCTGAGACCCCATTGGTTAAAAATCAAACAGACGAAACCTATGTGGCAGTGGATCAATCAGACCACAACGGAGTAGCTCAAGTCAATGGATTGTAATAGGATCCAAGAAGATGAAATTGAAATGAACACAGAGCAGAGTGAAACGGAAAACCCACTGCAGAATAAATCTAACAGCTCAATGGAAGGGCAGGAAAATAGACTGAAACAGCGGAACGTGGACCAAAGTAAAAAAAACCGTAAAGTGGAAAAGAATTCATCTAATAAAAGTGGAAACTGAAACTGCTGAAACTGAAGCGGAAAATGATGAAGTCTCGTTACCGCATGTTGAGGTTGAAAATTGTTCGCTAACCTCAAATATTAAGCTCTCATACGCGGATTCTCTAAAAATTAAGAAAACTACTGTGAAAAACGTGGCAAAAGGTGTCAAGGTGGCCCCTATCAAGAGTAGTGAAGTGATCACTTGTGCTGAACAAACTAGCCGGAAACCAGTGGTAATCAGTCTCTATTCTTCGTGTCCCGAGTGTCTCCTTAAACTACTAAGGAAGGTTTGTCTAAATACCTGAAGGAAAAAGGTGTTGAGGAGAGTGAATGTGTTGATCTCAGCCCTAGATTCAGAACATATAAGTCCTTTAAGAATGCTGTTCCCGGGCAGTCATCTCACAGGATTCTAGATCCAGGTTTTTGGCCCACAGGAGTTTTAGCCCGAATTTTCCTCCAGAAAAAACGTGGACCTAGGTAGTCTCCTTTTTAGGGAGAACAGTGTACAGAACAGTGACAACATAGTGAACCCAAATCCAGTTCTTTGGTTAGGCTGTGATAGTGAATCAAGGCCTGGCCTAGGTTAGACGTTGCATGTAAAGAAACTGAAATCAACTTAACTACCCCTGACCATAGGGCTGAAACTGAGAAGGGATCAGACCGTGTAAATATTGCTAGATTAAACACTCAGTGTGTAAGGACTAAAATAAACTTGCTTGAACTTTTTGTCGAGGAAACCAAATGTGATTTCCTTTGTGTGACTGAACATTGGCTGGGGAGAGTGCTTACTACCAAACTTAAGCTAATTTAAATCTGGTTAGTATTTTCTGTTGAAGTAACCACAAAAATGGTGGTGTAGCAATTTTCACTTCTGACCAGGCCGACTGCAGGAAACTGAACCTGGATAAGTTCTGTATAGAGTTGACCCTTGAACTGGCAGCAGTGGAGATTGTTAACATTTCTACTATCCTCGTAGCCGTCTATAGATCCCCGGACGGAGTTTTTGGGGACTTTATTAACCACCTTGAACAAAGTCTGATCTACCTCTCCAGATTTGAACCTAAAAAACTTATCATTTGTGGTGACTTTAACGTTCACTTGGAGTCCCCCTCTCATGAGGAAGCAACCTTTGTGAATCTACTGCGGAGTTACGGACTGTTCATAACAACCAGACTACCTACCAGAGGACCAGCCTGCCTTGACACGGCTGCTACAAACCTCGACTCCTGTGATTACGATGTCCAAGTGGTTCATTCAATGGTGGCCGACCATGACGGAGCGGTTATCCTAAGTGTTTCTTCTGATCTGGTAAGAAATCCACTGTCTTCCAGTAGTTTTAGTCATCAGATTCTAAAGAGAGTGGTTAATGAAAATGATTTCCCTCTGCCAATTTTCCTTACGAGCTGTAAATTGGGATTTACTCCTGCAACAACCTGACTCAGAAATTGTTTTTTCTACTTTCCATGACTTGTTTAACAACAAATTTGACTCCGTTTTTCCTGTTAAGATTATAAAACCCAAAAAAAGTAGTTGATGGTAGGCCTAAAAGTAAAGCTCCTTGTAGGGTAAGTAAGACTTGGTATACTCCAGAACTTACCAAAATACGATCCTTTCTGCAAACTCTCCATGATCACTACAAGGCTGCTAACTCGCCAGAACTTATTGCTACTTTTAGGAACCTCTACACTTGGGTAAAGAAAAAGTACAGATTTGCGGTCACTCAGGCCAAGAGAGCCTGTAATGCTAGGACAATCATGCAGTCTCCAAATCCTTGTAAAGCTGCCTGGAATCTTGTAAATAAGCATCGTACTCAGAGGTCTATACTAAATACTGAAGCGTCACCTGATGATTTTAACAACTTCTTTTTAAGTAGTGTTCAGGTCATTGTCTCTAACCTGCCTGTTTTACAGACGGACCCTCTGGCATCGATTAATGACATTCAACCAGCACTCACACTAACAACTTGGAATTTGGTGAGTACTCATGATATCATATCAATAGTTAAGAACTTCAAAAATTCTAGAAGCCAAGACATTTACGGAGTGTCCTGCATGGCCCTAAAGGCTCTTATTGATTCTTTAATTGTACCCCTCACTTGGTTAGTGAATCTATGTCTTAGTAAAGGCTCATTCCCAGATTTATTGAAAATGGCTAGAACCGTACCCATCCATAAGAAGGGTGATGTTTCCACTATGTCTAATTTCAGGCCTATTTCCATTCTACCTGTATCTTCAAAGATACTCGAAACGATAATGAAGAACCAACTCATGTCGTTTTTTGAGGACAGTAGCCTGTTTATAGATGCCCAACATGGATTCAGAAAAGGCCGCTCTACCACCACCGCCCTGCTGAGCCTAGTCAACACCATCTCTGAAGCATTTGAGCAAAATGAGTCTGTGCAGCTTAGCCTCTGCGACCTAAGCAAGGCTTTTGATGTAGTACCTCACGATATCCTCCTGCTAAAACTGGGCAAGTATGGCGTTGGCGGTGTTGTTATCAAGAGCCTCTCAAACTATCTGAGGGACCGTAAGCAAGTTGTATCTCTGCGAGGAGCCCTTTCCAGCATAGGCCATCTCTCACACGGTGTGCCACAAGGATCTGTCCTCGGCCCTCTCCTTTTTACTATAATGATCAACGACCTTCATCTGAGTGGGAGAACATTATTATTTGCAGACGATACAACGCTGCTGACCAGAGGTGTAAATATTCACCAACTGCCAACAGAGGCTGAAGACCTGCTCGAGAGAGCCAAGGATTGGTTTGTTGTAAACCGCTTGAAAATCAACGATGACAAAACCCAGTCCCTGGTTTGTACGCTGAAGCGGAGAGAAGGGGAAGATGGCACTGTAAAGCTTCTGGGATTCACATTAGATCCCAGACTAAGTTGGAGCGAACACATTGCGCGGACATGTGTCAAGTTATCTCGTGTGCTCCATCTCCTAAGAAAACTTACACCAGAAATTCCTAGATCATCTCTTTTATCTGTGTACTACGCCTTATTTCACAGTCATGTGACTTATGGACTTGTACTGTGGGGGCACTCCTCAGCAGCTGAGGATATACTACTCTAACAAAAAATGGCCTTGAGGATTGTCCCATCTGCTGGGTATTTGGACCATTGCCGGCCAATCTTCAAGGAACTAGGGGTGCTCACAGTATATAGTCAGTATGTTCTGGATATTCTGATCCTACTGAAGAATAACTTGAGGGATTACAGTAAGAGAGAGGAGGTGCACGATTACCATACTAGGAAGGCCCAAAACATCGACGTTCCCCGCTGCCGTCTCAGACGTACCTTGAGTTGCTATCCCCGTTCAGCGATTAGAATATACAATACTCTGCCTACTCAGATGCGGGAGATGGATGTGCCCTCCTTCAAGAGGGCACTAAAAGGGATACTTGTTAATAGACCGCTCTACTCCCTTAAAGAACTTGAGGATGAGCCCCTCGCAAAATAGTGTATGTCCGCCTTGCCATCCAATAGACGGCCAAGTTTTTTTTATAGTAGCCTATTTTTATGGTTTTGTAAATATTGTATATAGTTTTATTTTATTATATTATAAATTATGACACAATCTATCAGACTAGATCTGTCAAAGATGCAGGATTCAAGTATCAAGTATTAAGTATTTACTATTATCCAGATTATATTTGGACAGAAATAAAGCAAGCTGACAGATTCCCCGTAATAATAATTGAAAAATCAGAATTTTGAGGGGTAATAATAAGGTTGTTGACTTACTGATTTTGATGGAGCGGAAGTAGAGTTGCTCAGCCTTGCGGTACTCATGCATGTGGTAGTTGTACAGACTAGCAAGATGTCCCACGGACAAGCCTACCTCGTAGTCTTCTGGGCCCACAAGCTTCTCCTTTATTGCAATAGCTTTCAGATGCATTTGCTCTGCCTCCTAAAATGAATGTGACAGCAATCAAAATATTTCCTAACCAATCTGATTTAAAAGAATAATAGTGAAACACTAGGCTAGAACTGTGTTTACACATCCACACACTGTATGTGTAAGGATGGTGAACAAAAATATAAAAATATGGTGAAAAGGTTGTAGTAACGGTATATCAACTAACTGTCAACTTGTTAATGCTAGTTATTCTAAAATATTAAATACTTTAAACATAGATGTGGTGAGTGCACCAATAGACTGTTCAAAACCAGCTGACGATGATTTGTTTTAAATAGTATAAATTTTGTTTTTGTTTATTCTAATAAGTTTCCATAGTTACCAAATTAGTTCATTCCTGGTTTTTGTACTTTTAACACTTTTGTTTTTTCATTCCAGTTAAATTATAATTTCTGTCAGTTTCATAAATTATTTAATCCAAAAAGTTACAAACATAGTTAAAGAAGAACCTACTACTTCTTCAGTGGTGACCCCGACGTGATAATTTCTTACCAAAATTTGGCAAAATTACAATCCAATGTCTACTATTCAAGAAGGTGACTCCCTAGAACAAATTACTGTGAAGATCCCACATTTTTGGACAGCAGATCCTGAGCTGTGGTTTGCGCAGGTCAAGACCCAATTCTCCTTGGCTCGGATCACATATGGTGAAACAAAATTCTTTTATGTTTGTGGAAACCTGGATGCTAAATACGCTGCTGAAGTGAGAGACCTCCTCACAAGACCACCAACCGAGGGAAAATACAAAAAACTAAAAGCAGAATTGATACGTCGCCTAAGCTCTTCACAGGAACAGAAGACCAGCCGTCTCCTAGAACATGAAGAGATGGGAGATCAAAAGCCCTCGCAGTTCCTCAGACATCTTCGCACTTTGGCTGGTACCGTATTGCCAGACACTGTGCTGAAACCTCTGTGGTTGAGTTGTCTGCCTTCATCCACTCAAGCCATTTTAGCAACACAAAAGTCATCTGAGCTTGATGCACTAGCCGAGTTGGCTGACGCTATGCTTGAAACTAGCCCACGTCATCGTTACAGAAGCAGCTGTCCCTACTTACAGTCCCAACTCCATGGAAGCAATGATAGAGCGACTGACGATCCTCATGACATATAAAATGGGTGAAATCGTAAGCACTCTTGAGCACGACATTTCAACCATCAAAGAAGATCTGTGGAGTAATCAAAATTCTCGTCCAACATGGAGTTCAAGACCGGGTCGGCGATCAAGATCACGCTCAAAGAGCATGACAAGAGACGATGTGTGCTGGTACCACAAGCGATTCGGTAAATGCAGCAACTAAGTGCACCAGGCCTTGCAGTTTCCAAGCTAACAGCTCAGGAAACGATCTCAGGAGTCTCTAATGGTGGCCAACGACTCTCCCAACTACAGACATCTCGCCGCCTCTTTGTCACATACAAGGTAACAAAACAACAGTTCCTCATTGACACTGGAGCAGATGTTTGTGTCTATCCTCGAAAAATGCTTTCAGGTAAAATACTCAAATCTGACTATACACTATATGCAGCAAACAAAACCGGAATCACCACTTACAGGTTGCGTACCTTATCTTTGGACCTAGGCCTACGCCGAGCGTTTGTGTGGAGGTTTATCATCTGGCTGATGTTGCCAAACCGATCATTGGAGTTGACTTTCTTCATCATTATGATCTATTAGTGGTGTAATATTACATGTCATTCATTCATCATTAACATTAATTTCTCTATTATTTTGTATATTTTCTCCCATAATGTCTGTTAATGCCCCTGATAGTGAATGTTCGGCGTCAGTGTTTGATTGATCAGAGGTAACCTCTCTCGTTTCCACGGGTCGCGCAACATACAGTACTCCAATTTGGTAAGTGGTATTAAAGCAATAAATGCAAAACCAACCAAATGTCTACATGCAGCTCCTCCAATCATAAGCGTCCCTCATTCGACCGGCAGGTAAACCTTCTGTCCCTGTGAAACACCAAACAGAACACCATATCTAGACAACCCCAGGACCACCAGTCTTTAGCAAACCTCGTCGTCTAATAGCCAAAACACAACAACAAGTTAAAGCTAGCCAAAAGAGAATTTGAGGTTATGGTCCAGTTAGGTATAGCTAGACCTTCTTTTAGCAGCTGGTCAACCCCTCTTCATATGGTTCCCAAAAAAGGAGACGAATGGAGACTATGTGGAGACTACAGAGCCCTAAATGCCAGAACCATTCCTGATCGTTACCCTATTCCTCACATTCTGGACTTTTCTCTAAATTTGCATGGTAAAAGGGTTTTCTCTACTATAGATCTTGTTGGTGCTTACCAGCTAAACATCTAAGCTGGCACTTGTCCGATCGCTACTAGTACCTATTTCAAAAACATTATGTTCCGTCATGCGGGTTGCATCAACTGTCCTCGTGACCCATATGAAGGCGCTCAAGTACATAATGCAAGGGGAGTCAACCCTGTGAGGCAGCGGAAATGTTTGCAGTCCGATCTTTTCCCTACCTCCACCCTCCTCCCGCCTACACTACCAGCGCTAGGCCAAGTGCCAGCTTAGATGTCAAGAGCTGTACCACCAGATCCTGTAGCTCCTGATGACGTTCATAAGACTGCTATAACAACACCTTTTGGTCTTTTCGAATTTCCTTTCATGTCTTTTGGACTTTGAAGTGCTGTCCAAACCTTTCAGCGTTTCTTTGATGGTGAACCCAGTGGCCTAAACTTCTGTTAAGCTTACATTGATGACGTCTCAAAAAAATCTCGATCAAAATAAAATCTTGAGACTTGACTATCCCTACTCTTGACTGTTACCCTAAACGAAAGACTACAAAGGCATTAAGAAGATATGCTAAACTTTTATCGTAGATTCCTACCCGATTCAGTGTTCCAGCAGAGCTCTCCAAAGGACCTTCTGAAAGCCAAAACTAAAAGGTAATATGCCTATTAATTGGATCACAGAAAGTGAACAAGCTTTTGAAGCTTGTAAAAAGCCTCAGTGAAGCTGTTATGTTTTCTCACCGTGCACCGGATGCCTCACTTGCAATCTTCTGCGATTCATCAGACTATGCCGTAGTAAGTGTATTGCAACAAAAGGTAGGACACAACTGGCAACCATTATCTTTCTTTTCTAAAAAGTTAAGTCCAACTCAACAAAAATACAGTACGTATGACAGAGAGCTAACAGCAATTCATTAAGTACTTCAAAAATATGCTAGAAGGAAGACAATTCATCATTTTTACAGATCAAAAGCCTCTGACCTTTGCTTCCTGTTAAAAACCTGATAAGTGTTGTCCGAGACAGTTCCGTCACTTGGAATATATTGGACAGTTCTCAACTGACATTTGCTTGTTTCTGGACAAGAAAACGCAGTTGCAGATACCTTCTCTAGGATAGAAGAAGCCACTGTCTCCTTAAACTTCCAGGCTTTGGCATAGTCTCAAGCTCAGGATGAAGAACTACAACACTATCTAGAAAAGGAATCCAACCTAAAGCTCAAGCAAGTGCTGCTACTAGGAACGGAAGTCACGCTTTATTGTGATTTGTGCACTTCAAACCCCCGTCCTTTTGTCACAAAACAATTTAGAACAAATGCTTTTTACAGCTTGAACAACCTGTCTCATCCCGGGATAAAGGCATCCACAAAACTGGTTAGCCAACGTTTTGTTTGGCCTTCAATGAAATCAGATTGTCGTTCTCGCAGGAGCGAGCCCCTCTCCAGCCAGAAGTCAAAGATAACATGTCACAGTTCAACCACGGCCTCCTTTAACAACAGGTCGCGGCCAGCGAGAATTGGCAACGTCGCACTGAGCATTAACTCCCGGCTGTTTCACCATTACGGTAGTACGGAGCTAGTGGTCGCGGTTTAAATATACTGCATTTTTACACCCTTACAATTGACATAAAATTTAGAAATTTAGTACAGAGCTAGGGAATAAACTCTTCATGCCAATGATATGGTTTTGAAAATTAAAATTTCATTTGGTACCGGTAGTATATATAAATATTTTTAACACATTAGAAACAGTTTGAAAAAGTAAAGTGAAAAAGTTAGTCGCCTACTAAAATTATTGTTGTTTGTTGGTCAGAGAAGTTTCATCTGTGAGAAAGTTGTAGATAACAGGGTGTCTAGTTTATTTCCATTATAAAATTCAAGACTAATTCCAGACTTTTCAAGACTAATTCCAGACTTTTCAAGACTAATTCCAGATTTTTCAAGACCAGTTTTTTCAACAATTAGTGGGTGTTGATACCAAAATGTATCGATTCTCGATTCTTGATACCGATACCAATTTTTATAGCTTAACCAAATTTTCTAAATAATACTACACCAACCCCTGTCTTTGTCATAAAGTAGTATTATGATAATGTGGTGTTTTCAAGTAAAGAAATGATGCAGCAATAAAAAATTCTAACTAGCAAATTTGGTTTTTTTTTATCATAAAATCTTCCGCGTACCGTACGTTTAGACATCATCATTGACTGCAGCGGTTACAGAAACGTGATCGTCGTCGTCCGCGATCACGGCAAAATCATGAACATTTCCCGCGGCTGTTTAGACATCACCGCCGTCTCCCGCGGACACGGAAACGTTATCGTCGACGTCCGCAATCACGGCAAAATCATTAGCATTACCCGCGGCCGTGTAGACATCATCGTCTTCTCCCGCGGTCACGGAAACGTCATCGTCATCTCCCGTGGTCGCGGTAACGTCATCGTCGTCGTCCGCGATCGCGACAAAATCATGAACATTTCCCTCGGCCGAGCAGATATCATCGTCGTCTCCCGCGGTCACGGAAACGTCATCGTCATCTCCCGCGGTCACGGATACGTCATCGTCATCTCCCGCGATCGCGACAAAATCATGAACATTTCCCGCGGCCGAGCAGATATCATCGTCGTCTCCCGCGGTCACGGAAACGTTATCGTCATCTCCCGCGGTAACGGAAACGTCAACGTCGTCGTCCGCGATCGCGGCAAAATCATGAACATTTCCCGCGGCCGAGCAGATA